CTTAAAAAAAAAAAAAGTGCTTTCTTCACATCTACCAGAAGTACGCAATTGGCCTTTAAAATTTGTTTCTTTCTTATATGGTAATGTAATTTTAGTTTTTTCACACTTTACTCTGCATGTGTGTACACACATGCACACATACACATGCACACCCACAGGCATGCGTGCACACGTGAGCAGGCACACTACAGTACACAAATGGAGGCGGGTCCCAAGGATCAGATCCACCCTAGATTGTCAGGCTTTGGTGGCAAGCACCCTTATCCAGAGTCAGATAGTCACTCCGATTTTAATTTTCTGTTTTAATAATTTGTTTAAAATTTTTTTTGGGGGGGGGCTCCTCATGTAGCCCAGGCTAATCTCGAGCTATGCAGCCAAGGACTGCCCTGAAGTCCTCATCCTCCTACTTTCACCTTCTAAGAGCTGCTTCTTTCTTTTTTAAAAATTATTTATTCATGTTTGGAAATGACGAAACTGGAACTCAGGGCCTCCTTGCATGTGGGGGTATATCAGTTAAATGCTCTCCCATGCCTGGTCACAAATTTTTAGCTATTTTTCTTTTTCTAGAGATTTGTTTGTGTGTGTTCCTGTATATATGTGTATGCACCACATGGGTGCATAGAGGTTGCCTACATAGACCAGAAGAAGGTGTCTGATCCCCTAAAACTAAAGCTATAGACTAATAAACTACTATGTCAGTGCTATGGGCTATATTTGTCATATAACTTATAAATACGTAATTAGATTTTTTTTGTTTTGTTTTCAAGACAGGTTTTCCCTGTGTAGCCCTGGCTATCCTGGAATTTGCTGTGACCCACTGAGCCATCTTGCTGGACCCTGGTTTGTTATTTGTTTGTTTGTTTCATACAAGGTATCATTTAGCTTAGGCTGGTCTTGAATTCACTATGTAGCCAAAAGTGCCCTTGAACTTCTGATCCTCCTGCCTCCTCCTTCTCAATGCTGCTACAGGCAGACATCACTATGCCTGCTTTTATGTGGCTTTGAAGATCAAACCAAGGGCACTGCTCAAGCCAGACAGGCGCTCGCTCTAACAGCTGAGCTACACTGCCAGCCCAAATGATTCTTGGCCAACAAAGAATAAGGAAGAATGATTCTGGAAGAGTGGTGTCACTGAGAACCATTTTTGGCCCATGAGGGAAAGGACAGCATCCTAGAGGTAGGAGAGCAACAAGATAGACAGAACCTATGCTCTTCACACCTTACACTGGGGCTGCCATGTCAGCCCTGGTTGCTTCTATAACAATGAGACAGAAATAAATGTTATTGGCCATGATTATATTAGGGCCCTTTGTTACAGAATGTTTTATTCCTCTATCTTTCAGATCCAAGTACTTACTCTGGGATGAGTAGGTTTTATTTTTTTGTTTGTTTGTTTTGTTTTGTTTTTTTTGTTTTTTTTTGGAGACAGGATTTCTGTATGTGGTCCTGGCTTTCCTGGAACTCACTCTGTAGACCAGGCTGGCCTCACACTCAGACATCCTCCTGCTTCTGCCTTCCAAGTGCTAGGACTAAAGGGATGCGCCACCACCGCCCGGCAACAGGTGCTCTTATAGGTCACTGTCTGGAGGAACTGAGAATTCAAAACAACTCCAGTGCTTGTGTGTGATTAATATTCCCAACTGAAGGACCAAAGCAACATAGGGAATAAGTTAACAGGCAGGATTTGAACCCAGGCTCTATGGCCCTCAATAATACTCATGAAATATGAAATGCCTGGTCCAAAAACAAAAACAAAAACAAAACAAAACAAAAAAAAACCAAACTGCATAAACAGCTCTGTTGTCGATGGTTATTATAGGATGCCTTCTTCCTCTCTTTCTACCCCAGGAATTCTGGTACTCACTTGGCTACCACTGAGTCCTCGTTGTCAGTTAAGGTGAGGGGTGGAGAGGTACTTTGTCCCTCGGTGATACTGGGTGGGGAAGGGGTCCCTGAACTGGATGGCCAGGACTCCTCAGACAGCTCAGCAGAACTGGCTGCTATGACCTTGGGAGCTTGTGGCCTTTGAGATCTGGATGCACCCGGGATTTAAATAGGGAGAAGACACAAGAAGAAAAGATCAGGTCAGAAGGGTGACCCCCATGAGGAATGAACACACACAGAGGTGGTCAAAAAAAAGGACACATCCCACACTGTTAGGTAGTTCAGTTAACTACCTAAGAGGGGCTGTGGTCAAGGACCCAGGTGCTGGAGTTGGAAATGGGTAGGCCGCCAGCAGCGGGGTAAGGGGTTTCTCTTTCACTAGTGGTCACTGACAGCTATTAGTCCGAGGCACAGAATTTTTACCTAAAAAGTATTCCTACCTTGTGGCTCCAGTTCTGGCTTCTTTGTGGCCCGAAGGGTTGTCCGCCTTGGGGAACATTTCCAAAGGCTCTGTCTTGGGAGGTGAAAACTGACCGGCTATGAAAGAAGCAGAGTAAGAGAAGGACAGAAGCTGATAATTCTCACAGATTACTGGAAGAAATGGACTACAATTCCCATGAATCATCACAAATCGCATCATTCCCATGAGCTCTAAGTCCCATGAAAGAGACTTAGAAGAACCTAGAAACTAGTAGTTGGTAGTTCTCAACTCTAAGGTCTAGCCTAGAAGGAGCTTTTTATTATTCATTTATTTTCGAGACAGGGTCTCGCTCTGTATCTATGGTTAGCCTTGCATTTGAGATGATTCTCCTGCCCCAACTTCTTGAGTGCTAGGACTTTTAAAATTACAGACTCTTTCCAGACATGTAATGTTTGCCTGTAACCTCAGCACTCAAGAGGCTCTGGCAGGAGGACCCAAAATTCCAAAGCAAAGGCTGGGGAGATGGCTCAGTGAGTAAGGTGCTTGCTGCACAAACATGGGGACCTGAGTTCAAATCCCGAGAACCCATGGAAAGCCAGATGTGGTAGCACAAGTCTGCAATCCAAGTATTTCTATGCTGAGGTAGATGCAGGAGCGTCCCCTACAACTTTTCGGATCAGCGAACCCCAGAGGTGAACATCAAACAAGATGAAAGATGAGGGCAGACGCCTGAGCCTGTCTGATTTCCACATGGTGCACCCACACACACAGAAGCGAGCACACTCATACACAAAGGTTACATAGAGAGCTCGTCTCTAAACAAGAATAACATGTTACCTGTTGTCTGCCTGTGGATCCTGGTCCCTTAACTGGAGTGCCTTGTCTGGCCTCAGTGGGAGAGGATATGCCTAGTCCTGCAGAGACTTGATGTGAGAGAGTGGGTTGGTACTCAAGCATACCCCCAGGCTCTTCACGGTTCCCACTCCAGGCTAACAGAACTAGAATGTCAGGAAACAGGCCAGACACTGCATCTCCATCATCTCTGCCCTATTTAGGCAATTAAAAAAAAAAAAGATTTATTTATTTTTGTGTGCGTGGGTAGTGCCTGCGTGTGTCTGTGCACACTATCTGTGGGCAATGCCCTCAAAGGCCAGAAGAGTGTACAATCCTGTGGAATGAATGAGAGTAGCCATGTGATGCTGAGAATCAAACCCAGGGGCCTCTGGAAGACCAGCCACAGCTCCCAACCGCTGAGCCCTTTCTCCAGTAAAAATATGGTCTGTGGAATTGTTTTGTATTTTTTTTTTAACTGACACTAATTGTACAAGTTCATGAGACACAGAATGATATTTCAAAATGTGTAAGCAATGTGTTACAATCAAATCAAAGTAACTAATTTCTTCCTCTTCTAAACATCTTCCGTGAAGCCCATTTCATGACGCTCTAATTAAGACCACGAGGAAAAAAAACAAGTAATTTAGCCAAGAGTGGTGGTGGACGCCTTTAATCCCAGAACTCAGGAGGCAGAGGCAGGAGTTCAAGGCCAGCCTGGTCTACAGAGCTAGTTCCTAACGCAGGGAAACCCTGTCTTGAAGAAGAACAACAACAACAAAACAAGTAATTAAAAAAAAACACACATAAACAAACACAAATGAAAAAAGCAAGAATGAAAACAACAAAAGAGAAATAGGCAAAAATAAAACATTAACAAAGAGTCATGACTAAACCGTACACTACGTTTCCGGTTAAACCTGTTAAGGGGAGGGGGAGGTGGTGGTACGACTCCCAACGAGAAAGGGGTAGTAGACTACAATCCCCATGATTCACTGGGCTCCTCCTAAGTGAGAAAGTTCAAAAACAATGCCCCTAGATGTCTGATGCAATTTGGAAACTAACGAACTCAATTTCCAAACTTGTTTTAGACTCTCTTAGGCCCATCCTGAGTGAACAAAAGACTTGAGACACTCAGGGATGCTGGCGTACCCAAATTGCGTAGAATCTTGGGAGTTGTAGTTCTCATGAGGTTGGGCCGGAGACTCCAAGTTCTTGTAAACCCGTATTGCTTTCCCCAGGCCGCCTGTGGTCTCTGAGAGAGGGCCCAACCTCACCTGCAGTCAGTCAGTCTGTCGGCATTTACTTCAGCCTTAGGGCCAGCTGAGCTCCTTCGCGGAACAGCCCCGCGCTTACCCTCCTCGCTTAGCAACGCTGTCAGCCCCGCCCCTTTTCTGGGCGTGCAAAGCAGGAGCGCGGCCTCCCAGGCGACCAATGACGGACTAGAAAATAAAAGTAACTGGACCGCGGTCGAGGGGGCGTTCCCTCTGGACGAACTGGGAGAGCGCGTGTTTGATTGGAGCGTGCAGCAGTAATTGGCAAGACTTCAGACCAATAGTAAGGATCAAAAGCCGGGCTGCCGCTTGGAAGAGAGCTAAGCGTCCTGGCTTTCACTCAATCCTTATTTCTAACCGCCAGGATATCTGTAGGAGTTGACGCCTGGCTCCAGCCTTAACTACTATTGCGGAGCTAACCCGGGACGCCTGTCTTCACTTTGACTGCCATCCCGTCCTGATGGTCACCTTAACCACTTTCCTCTTGTTACTGAGCAGCTGGTCGTACTCCTTGCCAGGCCCGGGCTCCTGGCCCAGGTAGTGGGATCAAAACGAGCTATTTCGGGCCCCGGCGCACAGCCCCCGGGGGCCAAACTGGAGCATTCATGCTCATGCTCCCCTGGCTGCTGAGCACCCGGGGCTGAGTCAGAAGCACAGAATTAGGCCCGACCTACCCTGGGATAGGGTCTGTTCTGTGTCCTCCTGACAGCCTGGCATGGGTGCAGCATTCTCTAGGAGTCTGTTACTAAGACTGATGCGTCATCCTCAGAGCTGCCAGCCGGGCGGAGCTGGATTACGAGGACTGAGAACTCTTTGGTGGACTTGTCAGGAGCCAGGGTCCCAACTGCCACAGTGATTAGCCACACCTATAAGGGTCTGCCTCCTAGACTTTAGCTTCCCCTTCTAGAAATGGAAAAAGGCTTAATGACATTTCCCTGCTGTCCTTTTCCAGGCATCCAGCAGGCGTTTAATAACTGGCCAAGTAATTATTGAAGTTTCTAAATAAGGAAGACTAATGGCCGAGTCTGGCCTCAATCCCAGTGTCCCTGAGAGGCCCGCTGCAGGGGCGGCACAGGGCACAGTATAAATGGGAGACAGCGTGCGCTTGGGCACTGCGGAGCCCAGGGTAGCGGCGGAGGAGCAGGATGGAGATCCCCGTGCCTGTGCAGCCTTCTTGGCTGCGCCGTGCTTCAGCTCCTTTACCGGGTTTTTCCGTTCCGGGACGCCTCTTTGACCAGCGTTTCGGCGAAGGGCTACTGGAGGCGGAACTGGCTTCACTGTGCCCTGCTGCGATCGCCCCCTACTATCTGCGCGCCCCCAGTGTGGCCTTACCCACAGCCCAGGTGCCGAGCCTAGGGAGAGGACCAATTCAACTACTAACCGGACAAGGGAGGTGGCTCACCCTGGGGCGGGGTTGCGAGAATGTCGCCCCTCAGTGGGTCACTGGAAGTCCCTTGAGTGTGGTATTCTGAGTCCCGGTGACTGATCTTCTTAGGGGTGGGACGTGGGGCAAGTGAGCTGGGAATCTGGGGGAAAGGACAAGTGAGACCTGATGGGCTGTCATGTCCCCAGGGTTGTGTATGTTGATGCTGCACCTCCTAGAGGGGTCCTGTGATTTGATGAAGGGGGTCTTGGGCGCTCTAAACTGAGGGAAAGGTACCTGTAGGTCCCATGACCAAAGTAAGAACTCTGGCGATGGGGAAGTGGCATCTTGGCTGCTAGCATGGTGGGGTCTCGTAACAGAGACATGGTGGCTGTGGAGTCAAGGACATGGGGTGGGGGTTATAGGGCAGGTATCTGACTTGGTCACCACAAGAGGTGGACCCAGTGTCTAAAGGGGAGGGAGCCCAGCTGTTGTTAAGCTGAGGTTCTGGTGACTCTGAGCAGCAGGACTGTAACCTATGTGAAGCCAAGCCCCTACCCGATGAACACCCCACACCCGTGCCCCATGTGTGCAGGTGTCCACGGACCCTGGGTATTTCTCTGTGCTGCTGGACGTGAAGCACTTCTCGCCAGAGGAAATCTCTGTCAAGGTGGTTGGCGACCATGTGGAGGTCCATGCTCGGCATGAGGAGCGCCCGGTAGGTCTGCATGCCAGACTGGAGCAGGGGTAAGCAGGAGGGTAGGATTCTCAAACCCGTCTCTCCCCCCACCCCACTCTCAGGATGAACATGGGTTCATTGCTCGAGAGTTCCACCGCCGATACCGCCTGCCTCCCGGTGTGGACCCTGCTGCAGTGACCTCGGCACTGTCTCCTGAGGGTGTCCTGTCCATCCAGGCCACACCAGCATCGGCCCAGGCCCAACTTCCATCACCACCTGCTGCCAAGTAGGGCTTCCAGCGTTACAGGACCGAACCTGGGAGGCCTCTTCAGGCTCTCTCTTCAAAGCCGATCTGACTCCACTGCCCAGCCAGATGTCCCAATCGCTGTCAAGACAGCCTCTCCCAACCACATCCAGATGTCCTCTCCTGGGACCTTTTCACCCCAAACCCTACCTGAGTCTTAGCAACCTAGACACCCTCCCTAAGCCCTCTCCCAGCTTTCAGGCCCCACCCATGACACCTCTCTAGGGACAACACAAATACTCCTGTCACCCCTCAGCCAAGGCTCCCATCAGGCTGACCCCACTTTGGGTTTCTATTACCCCTCAGGCCTCCTACCGCACTTGTAACCTGTAGAACACCCCACGGTGACACCAGAGTACAGTGTAGTCACCCAGACTGCATGGGCTTTCCATATCAGAACATTCAAGTCTGGTCCACCAGACTCTAGATCCTGTTCCTGTAACCTAATGCTCCTCTGCCCCAGCCCACTTTCTGACTTAAAAACTCCAGGCACCTAAATCCTTGAATACTATCCTGACCTCCAGTGCTTGGGACACCTATTCCCGACTAACCAGGAACCCCAAACTCAATCTGTATGGCTATTCAACTTCTCCAGATGTGCTAGGCCAATGAACAAGAATCCTTGAGTTCCTCTGTCCTGGATGCCCATTTGCAGCCAGCTGTCTGAGGGAGCCTCCTCCACATCTGCCATTTTCTAAGGTCCCCTCAAGGCCAACATTTCCCATCTCCCCAGGCCTTCCTACCATCAGTCCCCAATAAATGCACTTGAGACTTGTCAACCGCCTTCTGTCTGGGCCAGGAAAGATGGGCTGGTTGGTGTGGGTTGGGGGCAGGTTTATTGGGGTGGGGTTACTGGGAAAATCACTGCCGGTCATACATCTCCCGTAGGATCTTCATACTTTCTGAGTAACGAAGCTGGTTCCGATGAGATGCCTCCTTCCACCTAGGAAGGGAGAGGGAGAATTTAGCAGCTGCTGCAGAGGACACTGGGGCAAGAAGCGAGCGAGCGAGCGAGGCAGGCCCACTCACCTGTGGCGTATGCGTTTCCAACGCTGCATGTTGCGATAGAGAAGTGTGGAAGGAGAAGGGTCGGGCTCGGAGGGCTGCACGGACAGAGAGGCCCAGCTAGGTGACCATGCCCTGGCCCTCCCAACATGCCCTGAAGCTCCAGGCCAGCCTCGGATACCTACTTCATCATCGGGGCTACCCTGGGTCTCAGGCTGCAGTGGGGATGGGATCCGGGATCTACAGGCATCTCCAAGTGGCCCAGGGGCTGTGGGTGGAGGCAGCTTGTACACATCACGATTTTTGCTGTTGATGACCTCTGAACCCTGGGGAGACAAAGCCCCAAAGGAGGCCCAAGTGTCAGAGCAGAGGGGTCGAAAGTAGGCGCTATCCCTCCTACCTTTCGCCTTTCCAGTGAGACAGACAAGGTCTACCTAGACACTTGTACGTGGAGAAGTCACAGTAGAGGGGACATACCTTTACCAGCTAGAGGATAGTCTTCCTGCTCTAGGGACCCTGTCTTCTTGTCAGCCTGAGAACCCTTGTCTACCCTTACCAAGCCCAGGGAATTCCATCTATACCTGTCAGCCCAGGGGCAGGGGGCAGTCAACAGGCCTTCTTTAAGGAATTGTCTAGGGGGTGTCATATCTACTTGAGAGTCCCAATAGTCAGGTCATGTCTGTCCCAGGGATCCATGTCTACCCTTTCAGGCCAGATGATTTCCAAGCCGCTGTTACCCTCCACCCAGCCTACAAGGTCCACAGTTGCTCACCAAGGCCGTATCTGGCAGCCACATCTGTTTGCACTTAAGATCCCCGTCTGGCCCTTTGTATTTTAAAACTCTTGTTCCCTAGGAAGCCATATCTATCTGGCCTAGGGACCTCCGTCTGTAATCCTCACCTAAGAGCAAATAGCTGTTTGTCCTACCTGGTTCTCTACCATTGAGGGGGCCCAGAAATTATACCTATCTACCACTAATGGGAGAGTTATCAACTTCTTCACCCACTGCTCAATCTGGCCTCCTGACACTCATCCCACCTCTCCATCCTCGGGCAGAGGGGGCAGTGGCGAGCCGGGTGAGCGTGCGCGCTCTCGCACTGTCGGGCTGTTGCGCATCCAGGCGCGGCAGATGGGGTACAACGGTGTGTTCTCACTGAACTGGGCTAAGTCCACACTCCGGTCGAACAGCTTGATCACATACGTATCTGGGGGCGGTAAGGCAGGCGATAAATGAGCACCCTTGTGTAGTCCCTGGCTCCACGTTCCCCCTCTCAGTCCTCTCTCTACTCACTGGATCTCTGAGGACCCCCCTCGGAGAGCCCATCATCCATCTCCCTCCTCTTCTTCCTCCGCTGGTGGGGGAAGCGGGCAGATGGCCTGTGTGGTTAAGGTGAAGTGTCAGGCCCGGACCTGGGGACTGGGAACCTTTTAGTGGGCTGGGGTCCTGGCCACCTTACCTTTTGCCAGTGGCAGCAATGGAACAGTCCCTGCAGGGAGAGACTTGGTGTCAGCAGGCTGAGCCTTTAATAGACATCTGCTCAACGCTGCCCCTCAAGGCGGGAGTGATGTAGTTCAGTAATAGAGCATTTGCCTAGCATGGGCAGAAGCCCTGGGGTTCTATTGTTAGCACTAAAAACAAACAAAAATGGACATCCTGGGGACTACTGGTACCCCTTGGGCCTTGTACCCCACCAATTCCCCCCAGCCCCCGCAAGATGTTAGCTACTTATGCAACAGGTATCTTTGTCTATGTAAGATGTTTAGGACTTAGCAGACAGAAAAGCTACCTAACCCAAACTCTCAGGTCTAAATCCCACCAAAATCCCTCACTTGTTGTGCGTATCCGAGGGAGTTTTCCCAGCTTCTTCATCCAGGCGTTCCCTGGGAGCAAAAAAGCACTATTGACTTAGGGTACCAAGGACCCAGAGTGTGATGATATTAAGTAGTCTTCCCATGAAACATCCCATGTCCCTAAGGCAGCCTCCAGGATCCCATCTAGATCCCCTCCCCCCTCCAACAATCAGAGTCAGTCCAAACAGTTCCCACCCTTGTGGTTCCCCAGGCTGGACCAGGTCCCAACCTGTCCATGTGACTCTTCTCCAGCAGACACTGAAGAACGGCATCCAGCTGGTTCCGGGCTTTGGCCATCTCCATCTCTGAGGGCAGAATGCAGGGATCAGCTCTGTGTGTGCCTCCCACATCCGCGGTGGGAGGCGATCCTATGTTCTGTCTGGTCCAGGTACTTGGAAAGCAGCTTTAGTGTCACTCAGTGGAGAGACCAACTAAAGACAGAACCAGGGTGATAGAGCCTTAGGCAGGGGCCACGGGCATAGCTGCAACCACTGCTTGTCTTTCTAACACCTACTTAGGAATCTAGGATCTGGACACCTTCCACGGACAGCCCTTAGAGTCTTTCCACTGAGGACTCCTTCTCTAAACCCACTCTTCTTCCTGGATTCACACACACACACACCGTGAGCGACTCGCCAGTCCACAGGCTCCTGGACTCACCATGGGCACTCCTCTCCTGCCCCAGTCTCAACTCCCGTGGCTTGCTGGGACTCTGTCAATATATTCCCTCCACACCTCGCCTTTTCCTCCCATTCAGTGGCCAGCCTCAGTCACCTTTTCTGATCCACCTCCTTTTATAAGGCAGATAACAGAACCTTCCTAAAAGCAAGCCAAGCCTAGCTGGGCATAATGACACATCTGCTATCCCAGCACTCTGGAGGCTGAGGTAGGAAGATCAAGAGTTCAAGGTCAGCCTCAGGAAAGACGCCCTCTCAGACAATAAGCAAAACAAAGAAAAATGCAGAAACAGACAGTGTGACTTTGATCTTCCCAGCACAGACTCCCCAGGGATTCTACAATCCTGACCCCTGAGTACAGAGTCTGTACTCAGTCTGCTGTTTCCAAGCCCACCCTTGTCCTACCTGCAGTAGCTGTAGGGAGGGTCCCTCCACTATATGTATATATTTTTTTCTTTTCCTCTCCCCTTCTTCGCTATGTAGCCCTGGGTTGGCATGTTATTTGCTAAGTAGGTCAGACTGGCCTTGACTTGACAGATCGGTCTGTCTCTGTTCTCCATGCCCTGGGATTAAAGGCGGCTGCCAACACAAACACTACTCTCTCGACTAGCAACTACTCCACTTAAGTTGTGTTGTGGATCTGTAGGTTTTTGTTTTTGTTTTTTGCACTTTGATATGCACCTTTACCAACGGACTCCTTCTTCTTCTTCGTCTTTTGTTTGTTTGTTTTTCGAGACAGGGTTTCTCTGTGTAGTCCTGGCTGTCCTGGAACTCACTCTGTAGACCAGGCTGGCCTCGAACTCAGAAATCCACCTGCCTCTGTCTCCCAAGTGCTGGGATTAAAGGCGTGCGCCACCACTGCCCGGCTTTCATTCCTTCTTCAAAAGCCTCCCTAGTCTACCCATTTCCCTCAAAGGAAAAGTCGAAAGTCCCTTTCTGGACCCCACAGATCTGTCCTCCTCCCCTCCCACCCCTGTCTCCGTTTCCTCACGGCTCCAACCGCCCTAGCTGCCGGCTTTGCTCCCACTGACACTCCTCCACTTTCTATATTTTCCATCCATCACCCTACACCCTAAGGTTACTGGAATGCAACGCTTATTGAGGATTGATCCCCTGTACTTCAGGGACACACCGCAACTGCTGACTCATGACCACTGTCAGAAATGGGAAATTGAAGTAAAAAAAAAAAAAAGAAAAGAACCCTTTTTTAGAGGGTCCTGTCATACGGGCTGCAGAGAGATGTCTCATACTCCGCTTTTTCAGGATTAACATATCTCTCGGGTGTCCGGGATCCCCCAGTCCTCACCTGATTTCTCCACTTTCACCTTTACCGGGAACATGATTTGGGTCCAGGTCTAATGTGCTGGATCAGAAAAACTTGGAGGAGGCGGGGTTCAAAAGCTAGGCGGAAGGCGGGCAGGAAAAGGTCAAAGGTAAGTCTGGGTACCACTGGTCCTCGGGCCTGAGCACTGTCCAGCCGCGACTGCCCTGGCTTCCACTTCCCTTCTTTCCCTTCTGTAGGCGGGCCCCTTTGGCAACTGCTTTTTCCCACTAGTTGATGAAAACGTCAATTTCATTTGCTGGCCAATTGACAGCCTGTACTATTGACTCCCAGCCTTAAGTTCCACCTTCCCGAGGCCCTGTATCCGGAAACAAACCAACGACAAGCCAGGCACCTGGGGGGCGGAGGGGGTGGGCTGTGATTCAAACTTCCAAGGCTCAGGGAGGAAGTAACGCGCCTGCGCCGCGCAGGGCACTATGGGAAACAAAAGATTCAGACACACCAAGGCTTCTCGGGATTTGTAGTGTTATATTTTAGTATTGCCAATAAACCTATTTACAGCTTTGAAGTATCTATCATAGTCACTGACATCCCTCACAGGAAGATCAATCTGGAGATGGACTGGCTCCTTTCTTACAGAGAAATATTTAATATTTAATATTAAATATTAAAAGCGCTGGGTACTCGTCCAGATATTGAGTACGATGTAACGAGCAAAACAGGCAAAAATCCTTGCTGACAGTGTGTCTTATCGTGTAGAGAATAGAAGATAGTCAACAAACAAGCCAAAGATTCTAAGTGAAATGTAAGAGGAACACAAAAATACGCAAAAATACTCGGAGGGAGTATCAAGGTGGGGGCTGAGACTTTATCATTATTTATTTATTTATTTATTTATTGCCTCACTCTGGCTCAGTCTGGCCTGAAACTCATTATGTACGTGACCCAAACTGTCCGTGAACTCCCAGAAGGCCTCCTGCCTCAGCCTCCCAAGTGTATGATTAACAACACCAATATCATAACCTGCTGGGTGTATGCTTTTTTTCACTTATTGGGGGTTGGGGCACACACGAAGAGGTCAGAGGACCACTTATAGGATTTGAGGATCAAACACAGGTCAGGATTGGCAGCAAGTGTCCCTGCCACTGAGTTATCTCACCAGACTCTCTGCTGAAATTATATTGAGACAGGGTATCACTACAAACCCTAGCTGGGCCGGAATGCACAGAAATCCACTATGACTCTGCTTCCCAAGTGCTGTGGTTACAGACATGAGCTACCAAAATCATGAAATTTTGAATAAGAAGATCAAGATGCCAGAGAGATGCCTCACTCACTTGTTAAGCTCAGTAGTTAAGGGGACTCACATGATGGCTAACAACTATGATGATGTTCTTGTCTGGTTTCCAAGGTCACTACCTAAAGGCACACACACAAGCGCACACACAAGCACACGCACAACTAAATCAAGAATAAAAAAATAGGAAAGTCAAGAAAACTTTCCTAAGGAGGCTCCTAGGTATTTGTCTTGTTGAAGACACCTCCTCCAGAGGGAGAAATGTCTTGGCTCAAGTGAATTCTTCCTTGGCAGAGAATACTAAGGCCTTGAACAAGAAAATAATTATCTTACTTGGTTTGTCATGCTGGGAATCGAACCTAGCATCCTTCTCATGTTAACAAAGTGTGCTTCCGGTAAACTACAGCTCCAGCTAAGAAAGTTGTATTTTTAAATTCACAACTATCAGTCCAGGACAGCAGACCCTCAAAATGGGAGCACCATTTCTTTCTCCTTCATCCGTATGACAGTTCTGAAGCAGGAACGCTCTTAGGTCAGAAGGGTATGAACAGTAGTTAATGAAATAAAAATGCATACAGTTCGTGAAAGCCTAACATGTAACACATTCAGTAAATGCTTTTGAGTGTTAGCAATCATTTTATGCTCCTGCCTCCGAAAGATCCCAAGAACTCAAAATTTAAAGTTAGGGTCCTTTATTGGGGCAGATGGGAAACGAGAAACAAACGTCTTCAGGGTCTGAGAGAAAACTGAGAGCAGAGAAGCCCATCCTGGGAGAAGGAACAGATCGCCAGCTTATGAAGTTGTCAGGGAGTGCCCAGGGGAATGGTGAAGGAGAGGTAGTCCCCGAGAGCACCCCAGCGGGGCCGGTAGATCTGGAAGATGGTGATCCAGGTGGTGAGAACAATCACCCAGAAGAGGAAGCCCACAGCTGAGCGCCAAACATCTATAATGAAGGACAAGGGGGTGGGGTGGGGGTAGTTGGTCTCCAGCTGCTCTGGGGGTGAGCTGGACTCCCCCAGGACGGCCCTTTCATCTCTGACACAGATCTCCCAATCTCCCAGAGTTCTGGAGCCTCTATCATCCCTTCCAACCACCACCCGCTGTCCTTTTTTGTTTTTTTTTTTTTTTTTGCTGGTGCCCTAGAACTCACAGCCTTTGATTTGGCTCTGCTCTGTGTAGGCTGGGGCGAGGAACGCCTCTCTGAAGAACCAGAAAATGTTGACCAACCAAAGAAAAGGCAGGAACGCAAATCCACCTAGGAAAAAGATACCCACGTTTAGTCAAACGACAATAAGGATCTTTCCCAATCTCCACCTTAGAAGGCCCATTTGGAAGGTCCTCTCCCAAGTTCAACTGGAAATCCCTGCTGTTAGGGCCTGTGGGGTTCTGGCTCTCATCGACGGACTATCTCGTCCCAGGCGTTAATTCTTTCTTCATCGTTCACTGGGACTCAGACTGAGACCTCAGCTTCCTCCTTCCTGAAGCCTCCCTTCTCGGGGACTAGAGTCTGCGTCCCCAATTGCGTTCCCACGAATCCAGGCTCCTATGTCCTCTTGCCTTGGGCGCTCTAGTCCGAGCCCCTCTACTACCCCCGAAACCTTAGGGGACCAGCCTTACCAAGATAGTACTTCCGGCACAGGTTCAACTTCTCCTCATTGGACACCCGCTCCAAGTTCATAGTTGCGCCGGAGCCTGGTGGTCCTAAGGGTCTGCAGAGCAAGACCCAAATGACAGGCGCAAAATCACGAACAACCACGCCCCTATTACGACAAATTAGAGGAGCGTCGGCTATGGGAAGGGTACATCCGAACAGGCTTGTGGGACGACGAAGTTCCTTATCTAGCTACGGTATACCAGACGACTCCCAACTCACCAGTGGGGTTTATCCCTTCTGCCTGGGATTCCTCTACGAGAGATGCCGCAGGTTTCTGTAGAGTTTGTTGTCTTTTTTTTTTTTTTTTTTCCTGTCTTCCCCCCCCACCCCCCGGCTACGTTGTACGCATGCGCTCCCAGGAAACACGCGCTTGACTGTCCGGGAAGGCCAGCTTCCAACACGCGTGCGCAGTCGCGGTCCCCTAAGGGCCTACACGCAGTTGACGAACTACATTTCCCAACGCTCCCGAGCAACGGAAGTGACGCAAGGAGCAGGCGCGTTGGAGTGTTCGGGTAAAAATGGCTGAATATTTAGCTTCGATATTCGGGACTGAGAAGGACAAGTGAGAATGGTGAAGGGAGTGGCCTCTCAGGGAGCCGGGGCACTTGGGTCTCTACGGGCTGGACGGACAGTGTTCGTGGGATGCCCGGCCTTCCCGGCCCTCGGTTTACCTCTGTCTTTGCACCTCTTCCAGGGTTAACTGCTCTTTTTACTTTAAGATTGGGGCCTGCCGGCACGGGGACCGGTGCTCCCGGCTTCACAACAAACCGACTTTCAGCCAGGTGAGACCCAGATTCACGCCTCCCCGCGCTTCATCTGCTGTCCATCATCTCGGGGTCCCGCCTCTTCCGGATTACTAAAGCCAATCCTACCCCTGTTTTGCTTTCTGACCTGGCCCTCTGGGTAGACCCTTCTTCCCAGGGACCGGACCCCGCCTCCCATGAACACCGACCACGCCCCTTGGCTATCTAGGTAGTTTGGGCGTCTCCGACTCCACTGGCTCACATCTCTCTCCCCAACTTTATACCCAGTCTGCATGCAGCCCTGCTTTCTGAACTCAGGTCTCTTTTAAATTTTGTTCAGACCATAGTTCTGCTCAACTTGTACCGGAATCCACAGAACACAGCCCAAACTGCAGATGGATCACACTGTGAGTAAGAAAGGGCTGGGGGTAGGGGGACTGCCCCCAGCAGTTGACGCCCTCGTTTCACGCTCCGTTCCTCCTCCAGGTCGTGTGAGCGATGTGGAAGTGCAAGAACACTATGATAACTTCTTTGAGGTGAGGGTTGCCAGGGTAACCGGGTTTCCTGTGTGCCAGACCTTAGCTGAGTTTTTTTCTCCGTCTTCTGCAGGAGGTATTCACAGAACTGCAGGAGAAGTATGGAGAGATTGAAGAGATGAATGTGTGTGACAACCTCGGGGACCACCTCGTGGGCAATGTCTACGTTAAGTTCCGGCGGGAGGAGGATGCGGAGCGAGCTGTGGCAGAACTCAATAACCGCTGGTTTAACGGGCAGGCCGTGCATGCTGAGCTGTCTCCTGTCACTGACTTCCGAGAGTCATGCTGCCGGCAGTATGAGATGGGGTAAGGTAGAATAAAAGTCGGTTGGCATCGGAGTCCCAGATGCTTGAGTGTTGGGTAGGGAGTGTTCAGTGATGGTGGCTTCCTCTGTTTTTAGGGAATGCACCCGAGGTGGCTTCTGCAACTTTATGCACCTACGACCCATATCCCGGAACTTGCGCCGGCAGCTCTATGGGCGAGGACCCAGGCATAGGTACCTCAGACCCAGGGTGCCATGTTCTGTACCCTAAGATGAACCTGATGCTAACTTGTTGGCCTACCAAACTAAGGCTCTTGTGCTCTAAATAGTTTTGAGCCCTGCCTGGGGAGAAGTACCTTAGTCTTAGTGCCCAAAACAGTGTGAACCCCACACCCACCACCAGCTTGTGTACCTATCTTAGCATGACGTTAACAGCCATCCTGTCCCTAAGAGACAGGCCTGGAAAAGTCTTGGCCACTCCTAAGTGTTCCTGCCCATCTCTGTCCACTCCTCTTCCCAATTCCTAGGTCACCTCCGAGGTCCTATACAGGTCACCATCCCCGAGAAAGGAACCGACGTCGTTCCCCAGACCATCGGCATGGTCGCTTCTGAGACTGGTGCCCTTGCTCTTCGCCCAAGGGCATAGATGTTCCTGTCCAGCATCCCTTCTCCAAGTGCCCTTCGCTTTCCAGTCCCGTCATCCCCAGGCTTCAGAGCTTCATAATAGAATCTGTTCGACACAGGAGCCTCCTCCTCCTCTCCCTCCTCCAATAAAGCTTAAGAAGTTTGTCAACCAAGGTCTGTGGTTTCCTTCCACCCCCACACCTAAGAAAAGGTGTTTGCCAACCACAGTCTCAGCAGAGGAACTTGGAACCAGCCTGGGGTCTGGGTCTGCTCTGGTAAGTTGGCACTGCTTTTATACCCATAACCTCAGATTGTCTTTTCTAGGTGCTGTTTAGGGATAAGTGCGTGTTTGTGGCAGGCCAGAGGCTTTCTAACAGAGATGGGGTTGAGAAAAGGTGAGGAAGAGAGGTGGTTAGGTACTGATGAGAGCTCACAGGAAGTTAGGCCTGGTCGTTGAAGCCCACCATACCACCCTGAAATGAAGGCACTAATAATACCTGACACTTACAAAACTTTGAATTATGTTTACTCTCTGTTAGGTACTGTGGTGTTTGGCTTGTTTCTTTTTGAAGCAGGGATTTACTAGCTCTGGGTGGCCTGGAACTTGCTATAAACCATGCTGGCCTCAAATTCACAAGAGATGTTCCTGCCTTTACTTCATTCGAGTGTTGTGATAAAAGTGTGCACACTACACCTGATTATTGTGGTCTTTTAAGTAGATTTATTATCACACACACACAGACACACAGACACACACACACACCTTTCACCCAGTGAGGCATGTTCTGTTACCCCATCTTAGAGGTAAAAATGAGAAGGCAGGTATGTAAGGTCACAAATAATCTGGTGATCCACATCAAGTTCTTTATAAACCTTGTGCCTTTGGAGTTGGGTATGAGGTACGCCAGCTCCCAAAGAGGTTCTGGAAGTCTGTGACCCTACATCCACCGCTTTCTTCTGCCTTGGACTTCCTGGAATGTGCTGCAGAGACAGTGTGGGTGGAAGTGGTCACAGCCCTCAAGTTGCAGGCTCTGCTGAGATGGGGCCCAGTTGGCTTCTCTGGACAGTGGCGGTAGCAGTGCTGCTTCTGACTCGGGCCCCTTCACTGGAAGCCTCTCGGTTCTGTGGCCACCTTGAGTACTGGAACCCCGACAAGAGGTGCTGCAGCAGCTGCCTGCAACGCTTCGGGCCTCCTGCGTGTCCTGGTGAGCAGTGACTGTGTGCGCACTAGATGGTGTAGGAAGCAGGGGTGCTAGAACATGGCATGATTGTTGCTGGCCTTGCAGTGGGCTTCCTTGGGGGAGCGGGAGTGCTGGGTCTTAGGCAGGTAAGACTGTGGGGGTAGGCACGGGTAAACTTGTGCAGAAAAGATCCGTTAGAATGGGAACACCAAGAGCAGACTTTTCCTGAGTGGAGGGCATGGGGAGCTTTTATTTATAGCGTGAGTGAGCCTTGGTAGAGTGATGGGGGGAAGGTTCTCATGAGGATTTGAAGAGGAACGGTCTAGTGGGATTACAGGGACAACCTGTGCTCCATTGTCTCCCACTAGATTACGAGTTTACGGAAAACTGCGGGCTCAATGACTTCGGTGATACTGTAGCACATCCTTTCAAAGAGTGTTCCCCTGGGTATTGCAACCCCAATGGCACAGAGCTGTGTAGCCAATGTAGCAGCGGAGCCGCAGCCCCCACTCACATGGAGAGCCCTGGTAGAACCCACAGACAGTGTAGAAAGGTGCTAGACTCCTGGGGTATGGGTCAGGGCTTGCCTGTGGGTTCCATGGGTAAAGCTTGGGTCAGAGGGGGAGCCTTACTAAAGGGAATCCCCAAGGGAGTGCCTTCAGGGTTGGAAGAGGTGGGGAGCAAAAGAGGTAGCTCCATTTAAGGACCTAGAGGATGGGAGGCTTGGGCTGATGGGCCTGCTTGTTTCACTCTCAAACCTCTGTTCCCAGAAGCCCATTCCTCCCAAGGACGTCTGTCCTCTTAAACCTGAAGAAGCAGTCGTCTCTGGCTCACCTGGGAGGTGGAACCTTGGGCAGACAACCAAGAATGAAGTCTCCAGCAGACCAGGTTTCCCACCCTCAGTGCTGCCCCTGGCAGTGTTGCCACTGTTCCTGGTGCTGCTTCTGATATTGGTAGTGGTCTTGCTCTCTGTGTTCAAGAGAAAAGTCTGTTCCAATCCTTGTTCCAGCTTGGCTTTTGGAGACCCCAGAACCTCTGTACATTGGCCCTGCCCAGGTACCCTGGAGGTATTGGGAAGTAGAAACAGAGGGAGGACATCTCTGCTGCAGCTCTCAGGCTGGGGTCAGTACAAGACAACCTGCCCAGAAGGGAGGGTGGCCTCAAAGCTTTTCCCCCTCCTCTCACTCCTCCCTGGCCTTCCAGAGCTTCAGGGTCTGGCCTCTAGGCCCCTATCTCTCCTGCTGGATGAGCTGGAAGTTCTGGAGGAGCTGATTATGCTACTGGACCCTGAGCCTGGGCCTAGTGGGAGCATGGCTTATGGTACCACACGACACCTGGCTGCAAGATACGGGCTGCCTGCCACCTGGTCTACCTTTGCCTACTCACTGCGGCCCAATCGTTCACCCCTGAGGGCCCTGATCGAGATGGTGGTAGCAAGGGAGCCATCTGCTACTCTGGGCCAACTTGGCATATACCTGGCCCAGCTGGGTCGCACAGATGCACTGCAGGTGCTGTCCAAACTTGGCTGAGGCGGGGTTTGCTGGGGCTTACTACTCCATCAATAAAAGTTTCCCTTGAAGCCAGTGTCTGCCTGTCCTCATTAAAGGCCTGTCCTCATTAAAGGAGTCTTCTTGATGTACAATCTTGATTGGGCCCCAAGTTAACAGACATCCTTTCCCATAAAGGGCCCATTCCAGTATAAACAGGACCATGTTACTTGACTGCACTCAGCTGTGCAAGGTAGAAACTAGCATACTTGCTCTGATGCCTTCACAGACCCTGACTTTGAGGCTGGATCTCACGTAGCCCAGGCTGACCTTGAACCCTCTATGAAACTGAAGATGACTTTGAACTAGAATCTAGAACCTGCTTCTTCTTCCTGCCTTTACTTACCAAGTGCACATCACCTTGTCAGTCTGTGTGCTGTGGATCTCATACATGATATGCAAATAGGTCAGTATTCCTAGACCTGCCCCACCAAATCTGGCCTTATTAGTGCTTCCTTGATTACAATGGTTACAGGAAGTGGGAGCTCCCACCTGCCTCCAGCACCATACAGATCAACCAACCACGGTTGACAAGACGGCTCACTGGGCAAAGTCACGTCACACGAGCTTTTGGACCTCAGATTTCTGGAACTGACTTCTGAAACTGTCCCTGACCTCTGTGGGCATGAGATGGCACACACACACACACTAGTGAGCATGCACAAACACAACCACCACAGTCATAAAATCACAGAAAGACCACCTCTCCAAACGTTGACAGACTTTATTGTGGGGGGGATTCCCACCTGGGACCCCGCCCTCTTAAATAAAAAAGTGCATAGAAAAGAAGGGATTTAGAAACCTTTGTACAATATCTACATCCTGGGTCCCCAGGGAAGGAGGAGGGAGGCAATGGCTGGGTGGGCAGGAGGGGTGAAGGCAGGACCCCTGCCCACTACACGCCCACACCCACCATCAACAGGAAGGTAGGAGTGAGATGCTGAGACTAGGAAGCCACAGGCCAGGGTGAGAGGGCAGCGGGCACATGAGGAGTCTGGGGCAGCCATGGCCTCAGTTAAGGAAGCGACGGCAGCGTTTGGCGCCACAGTTGCAGGGCAGCTTGTTGCTGGCATCCTCGATGGGAAACTTGTAGTCATAGGTGAGCTCCTCACCTCGCAGGATGCGGCGCAAGGCAAAGATGACAATGTGTTTCTGACCTTCCACATGGATGACGCGAGAGAAGCAGTTGGGCTCACACGAGTGGTTGATGAATCGAGCAGCATTGCCGTGCATGGTGGCGTCCACCACATCGAAGTCATCCATGCGGAACATGTAGCACCCAATACCCTACAGAACGGGACGAAGGCATTAGCTCTCTGTCAAGGTCAGGCCGCATCCACTCACCTCAAGCCCTTATGCCCTTACCTTCCCATCATAGAACTTCTCCCGCTTGTCAGTCAGCACAGAGCGAATGACGATACCAGAGTACTCAATGACCATCTCACCAGCATCGATGTTGCGTTTACAGAACAGGCCTCGTCCATGGATAGCTGATCTGCGGGGCAGAACAGACCACAGGGAACTCAGGGGGCAGGGGGACAGACACCAGGCAACTCCTCATCATGTCACCTATCTGTCCACCCAAGGGGCACCCCCCCCCAACCCCACTAACCTGTAGACGCCCACAGCCTCTTTGGATGTCTTTTTGAGATGACGAAAACGCATGGCCATAGGAAGCTCCAGGCTGGTGGCACGTCTGGTAGGGAACAAAATACCAAAAAGTAAGCTGGTATCCAGGAACAGTCAGTCACCCCCCCTTTAGGATACTTTCAGACCATGCCCTGTACCCCAACTTGCTCTGCATACCTGGTGGACCGAAGCTGCACCTCATCCTCTTCTTCATCACAGGTGGCTCCCTCAGGGAGCACCCTGTGCTGGGAGGCCAGGAAGTTGAACATGTCAAAGGTACACTTCCTGCAAGTGAAAAGGAAAGGGTCACAGCCATTCCTTCAAAGAGATGCTGCCTAGCTGTTCTCTGATAGTATCACCAAGGGGCTGAAGACAGCAGAACAGAAGATGGGTGGGGTCTACTCTTCTGGCATGAAGTCTACAGATCATTTTTGCCGTAGCCTAGTGTCTCTGTTTCAATCTTTCTACACTTAATTCCCACCCCCGTGCTCCCCAGCCACTGACCGGAGATAGACCTCAGCGCGAGCAGCCCCATGGGGATTCAGAGGTGGCTCCTCCTGGCCCTCTCCCTGCTGGTGGTAGCGGAACTTATAGTGCTGACAGTGCTGGGCCCCAGGCAGCTGCTCTGCCAGGAAGATGACAGCATCGTGGTGGATGCCCAGGAGCCGCGCTCCACTCATTCCTGAGGACAGGACGGGAGGGACACAGCAATCACACGGAGGGCCCACCTGGCCCTTGCTCCCAGGGTTCCCGGGGATACTTACCACTAAAGGAAAGATGCCTGAGCCGTGCGTGCCCTCGAGCTTCCTGCACTTTCTCAATCAGAGTTCTCCATGCCCCTGGAATGAGGAGCCAGAAGTCAGGATGAAGTATAAACACTCTCCCCGACTGTTACTGCTTCTGTTATCCCCAACTCACCCTCCAAGCTCTCTGCCTCCACACTGAAGCCATCATCGCTGCTGATCTCAAAGCGCAGGTGCGGACCAGCTCGTTTCGGAACCTGGTTTTCTTTGTCCTCTGGGGATGGAGGCTCTTCCTCAGAGCTTGAGGCCTCACCTGCTTCCATGGGGAAGGTAAAAAAAGTAGGAGACGATCACCTTCCTGGACTCAAAAGCCACTGCTGCCAGGCAAGCGGTGCATGCATTTAATCACAGCATTCCAGAGGCAAAGCTAGGTAGATCTCTGTGAGTTTGAGGCCAGTTGGGTCTACTTAGTGAGTTCCAGGACAGCCAGGGCTACATAGATGCGCCTTGTCTCAAAACAAAAGGGGGAAGAAAAAAACAAAACAAAACAGACCCACTGCCCCTGATTCCCGGCTGACATCCATCCCTCCTACCCCTTGGCGCAAACATACAGGAGACAGATGGGCTTCTTCCTGCTTCAATTACCGAGTGAGTCCTATGGCATTGATTTGAATGTTCTAAGGGGCCTGGAAAAACTTTTCCACCATAGAGCAGCTGCATGAAACCATGAAGGCCTGGGCTCTGCCAGCTCAATGAAAGCTAGCCCACCATATACAGCCTATAATTATTTTGTCCCTGAAACAGACTCTATAGATATTGGAGAATTACTTCTATACAGTTAAACAAATAAATAATTAGGGGAGTACTAGAATTGAAGGCAGAGCCTTGAATGTGCTAGGAAAACATTCTAGCACAAATTCATACCTCAGCTGAAAACACACTAAAGTCTTACACAATTTAAAATGTATAGACTTGGACACATGCAAGTACACTTACAATATTTATTACAGACCAGCGGTTCTCAACCTGTGGCTTGTAATCCCTTTGAGGGGGGCATGTTACATATTTACGTAATTCATAACATTAGCAAATTAGTTATGAAGAAGCAACAAAGTAACTTTATGGCTGGAGGTCACCACAACATACAGAACTGTATTAAAAGGTCACACGGTGTTAGGAAGGTTATAAACTATTTTAGGGACTTCTTGGACTGTCTGTATTTATTCAGTTTTGTTAAGACAGAGTCTCACTACATTATCCTGGTTGGCCTTGAACTTCTGGATTCACAAGACCTCTCCGACTCAAGATTAGCTGGGATCATACAGATGTACACCACCTTCAGGAGTCACAAGTTATAAAGACAAAGCAGCAGGACTCCTGATGTGGCACTCGCGTTCACTGTGAGACGGGTAAGGGCAACCCTGAGGTGTGGGCCTTAGACACAGTAAGAGTGCCACCAACTGCCATAGGACAAGGACTATTTGGAGCATGCTAACTGAGCTGTCTCTCAGAGGATATCCTCTTGCAACTTGACAGAGGGGACAACAAGGTGCAGGAAGCAGGAGCCAAGTACAGGAGCAAGGCCGGGCTGCAGGGAATAATGCAGTCCTGAAGGACACAGACGGGATTCAGAGCCTCCCAGAAAGCAGGTTGGGGGAGCGACATAAACACAAGGCCCAGGGGCCTGGGACACACACGCTGGAAGGGCGAAACGAGGCATGAGCAGAGGTGAGAGCAAAGCGTGGGGTCCTGGAAGCAAGTAGTTCGAGGAGGGAAGCTGGAGAACAGATGCTGCCACCAGCACCTGCAGTGGACACCAAGGCCAGCCACTGTCTCTAGGGTAGGGGTGGAACATGACATAGGAACAAGACCCACACGCTCCACCAGTCACCACAGCCTTTCTCTTGCCAGCCTGTCCACCACCCTCTAGTCAGACAACCCTGACTCTGCCACAGAGGTCAGTTCATCGCCAGGCCCCAAGGCCTTCCCCTCCTCCTCGCTTCATCTACAGAATAGACAGGGACAGCTAAAAACCCCTTCCCCATATTCTTTCTCACACTGTTTATCTAACCTGAGCTGCAGAGTGGACATGTCTGGGTCCCCATGAACAGAAGTATGTCTGTAATCATCACCATCACACCTCAACACCAGCCAGACCAAAGCCTCTCAGCTAAGCAGCCTTAGTCCACCTGGCTCCAATGTGGTGCTCAGAGCCTACCTCCACGTACTCAGAGAACCCGAACACTGGGGTAGGACTGGGTCACTGCAAACCCAGTCTGCCTGCTACATTACTCAACGGCTCCACAAGAGTGACCCCAGAGGCCAACCGAGAACCTCACTTCTAGTCTCGGTCTAGCAGACAAAGCCATGAGAGCACCCCCTGTGACTCACCTGAAGGCACATCTGCCAGATCTTCCTCCCATCCCAGGAGTCACCTGCTCAAAGTCAGTCACTCTTCTCCCATGCCCTGTTGCTCAACCAGCACCCTCCCCCTCCACAGCTTTGAAGTTGCAGCCCTCATAGCCTCAAGCTCTCTGACTGCCGCCCGACCTCCTCCTGATCCTTAGCTCAACTTCTTGGCTAGCTGCCTGGGTGCTGCTCTGGCTCCTCACCAACCACTATCTTCAACATCCTACCCGCCCCATGCCACCTGCTCATGCCCTCT